CATCAATCCATTGATGCTGGTATTTTTCTCGCAGCCATTTATTTCTACTATCCGTACAATTAATGTCCGAATAAATTGTATTTAGCGAGTTTTCTAACAAAAACGGCTCGTACGTACCAATATCGAGATATTCCAAGTTACTATTTTTGACATACAAGTCAACAGTTCGTAGAATATTATTGAAAGCATGTGTACTAATGTTTGGTGACGACAACTTTGCCCGCGAGAACTTTAATTGAAGTACTTGTGATGTAGTGTTGCCAACCGTTCTCCAGATAGATTTACTACTATTCCCAACGGGGAACGCATCCGGAGATATTTCACTTATTGGATTATTTTGAAAACTTAACAATTTTAACGAGGGTAAATTTCTAAACGCGTGCGAATCAATCTTGGTCAGTTTGACATTTGTATTGAAAACAATTGACTCTAGTTTGGGATTGGAGTATATGGCACGGGTAGGTACACGTGTGATATCGGTACTCTCTATAATCAGCTTATTTAAACCTTGTAGAGTATTTATGGCACCAAATAGGTTATAATTACTGTTCGCGTATTCTGTGACGGGCGCGTGAAATACAGTCAATTTGGTAACACTGTATTCGGATGGTCCACGAAACGCATCGCGATGAATATGGCTCAGGTTTAACGCAATTATACTCATCTCGGTAAACCCGATATCACCAAATGCGTGAGCAGGTAATGTATCGATGACCGTATTTAACAGGGTAAAATTAGCTAGTATCTTGTTGCATCCTTTTAGACGCTTACCAAGGTACCGAAATATTTCTACTATGTTTATCGATTGGGTTCCAAAACATTCAATTGAATTCTTTTCCCCAATTGTTATATAATGACAATTTTTAGTTAGTTTTAGTGATTTTGGGCACTCTACTTTGTCGGCATCAAGATTGAGCATGGTTATTATTATTAATAATGACATGATCCATGCTATTACAATTAATATAATATGTACTGTTCAACAAAAATTAAATTAATAAGTACAAATAGGAGAACAATAAACTAGTTACTTTTATGTTTTTGGTCCATGTTAGATTTATTTTTAACACAAGTTAGTATTTTAAATAAAAACAATTGTTTTCAACGATTTATAAATTTTAAAATATATTTTAGTACAGAATTTAAGTTATGATAAATTTTTAAATTCCATATGGCTTATATTTATTAGTTTTTATTACCAGGTTTTTAAGTAACTCATAGTAATTTAAATTTTAATTTGTAAATATATTTATTAAAAAAACTATTTGTTTGACAAACTGTAATATTGACAATTTGATCACAACAATGTATGTATTAGTTTAATATTTAAATTATAATTCGTGTTGAATACACTATAGTTTGAATGTAACTGTATTTTAGGTAAAATTATTTTATTATACAGTATAGATCATTTAATAATCAGTTTAGGTAATATATTACTAATATAAAATCAAGTAATATCAATATAACGCAAAATATATGATAGCATATAAATAATTAAAGTTATGATGTTTTTATTGAAAAAAAAATTTATTTGTTCTATTTGGTATTAAATTAATGAGATAAATTAATTAATTACTGTATATTGACTATGTTAACTTCAAGTTTACGTCAATGTACCAAACGTACCAATTATAAATTAATTGTATTTTTAAACATTTTCTAATTTATTTTATCTTAACATATTTAATAAATCTAGATAAAATAATGCAATAAATTTCTTATTATTTCAAATTAAGTGGCATAGGCAAATCACGCAAAACACAGTAAACAACTGAGTTGTTAAAATAAATGTTAAAATATATTATAATATCAATTAAAATTATTATGTTTAAATTATTGTTAGTATTAACATTAATCTGTATAACAGAGTGCTGGGCCAGTAGCAAATCTGAGCATGTTAATTCGTATATAATAGGTGGCCATGATGCTAAACCCGGTGATAATCTACATTTGTGTTCAATCAGATATAACGGCACTCATGGGTGCGGGGCGTCTATCATAAGCGACAGGTGGGCCGTAACGGCCGCTCATTGTGTAAACGATGCTAGGTAAATATAATAATTTTAATTAACTAAAATTAATTATACTTACTATATGAATACATTTATATTCAGTTACATAACCACTTTGCATTGCGGCACAATATATCGCTCAAAACAGGGCACCGATTACACGGTGCTAAAGCTCGTACCCCACGAGTTATACAATAAAGATACCAGCAATGATATAGGGTTGATTCAAATACAGGGCCAATTTAATCTTGATAAAAAGACTCAGGACATAATTCGACTACCTAGTCCAGGTTCTGATTTGGAACCTAATAGGATTGTCACGACCACAGGCTGGGGATACACTCAGTTGGTTAACATGACTGCACTGCCCGAGACGTTACAGACGGTAGACCTACCTGTTGTCAAACGCGTTGACTGTATTAATAATTATAAAACTATACCTGAAATTCATGTCAATAATAATAGTGTGTGCGCCGGTGGTCAGGGTCACGAACCTTGTTACGTATGTATATTTTGTGCCCTGATCAATTTAGTATACATAAATGCATATAATTATTTTAAAAATACTTTATATACTTTATATAATAATAGAATAAATAATAGAACTTACATTATTTTTTAATTAAATGTATTAATTTAATAAATGTACAATTTACATAGACCGATTCTGGTTCGCCGCTAAAATTCAATAAAACACTGGTAGGTGTTGTGACGAGGGGTAATCCCGGCGCTGTGATTGGCTATCCTACGGTGTTTACCAGGGTCGCTTTGTATAGAGACTGGATACGCGCTAATTCAGCCGTATAAATCATACACTTGCTGGATTATTCAAATTAAAATGATTAAAATTTAATTAAATATGTAAAATATTAAATTACATTAAAATAAACGAGATTGTACTTATAAATGTTTTTCAATTTATTGTACTTATATCACTAATCAATGAGGATTAATAAAAATATATTTATATCAATCCAGATTAAATAATGCAATAAAGTTCTCATGAGACTATTTACAAATGTGTAAATGGCATATATTAACCATGTAGTACATGGCATGTACAATACAATAGACAATTGAGTTGTGCAAAATACATTGTAACGTACATGATATATTAATCAAATTACTTTGTACAAGTTATTAATTTTAACGCTATTCTGTATAACCACATGCTGGGCCAGCAGCAAATCTGACTATGTTAATTCGTACATAATAGGTGGCCATGATGCTAAACTCGGTGACAATCCACACATATGTTTGCTCAGATTTAACGGCACCCATCAGTGCGGGGCCGCTATTATAAGCGACAGGTGGGCCGTAACGGCCGCCCACTGTATAACCTATTAAGAGTAAATATAATAATTTTAAATAACTAAAATTAATTATAATAACTTTGATTATATTTTAGACCTAATAAAACAATGACATTACGGTGCGGCACAATACTGGCCTCAAAACCGGGCAACGATTACCCAGTGATAACACGCATAGCCCACGAGCTATACGGTACAAATGCCAGCAAAGATATAGGCCTGCTTCAAATTGATGCCCAATTTAAACTTGATAAAATAACCCAGGACATAATTAGGCTACCTGACCAGGGCTCTGACCTGACACAGGGCCAGATTGTCACGTCTATAGGCTGGGGAGTAACTCAATTAGTTAACATGACACAACTTCCCGAGACCTTACAGACCATTGACCTACCGGTTGTTAAACGCGATGATTGTATTAATGATTATAAAGCATATCCACAAATTCATGTCGATGAAGACAGTGTATGCGCCGGTGGCCAGGGTCACGACCCTTGTTTCGTATGTATATTATTTTAATATGAACTTTTATAAATATGGGAATATTATTATTTTAAAAATATTAAATTATTTAAATAATAAATATACAGTAGTTTTGATATGAAAATATAAATGCTATTAATTTATGCATAAAAATTAACTAATATAATATATTTAATTCAATATTATTTAATCATTGTACGGCAAGTTATACATTACTTTAAAATTATTATTAAATATATAAGTTAAATATAATAATGATATTGTAACTTTAAGGAATATTATTAGATTGACAAATATTGAATTTGTATAGCACGATTCTGGTTCACCATTAAAGTTCAATAACACCCTGGTTGGTGTTGTGTCGAGAACTAAACCACCATGTGCTCAGATTGGCTTTCCAACACTATTCACCAGGGTTGGTTTATTTCGGGATTGGATAAGAAAGCATTCTGGTGTATAAAAAATTAAGCTATTAAGCTTAACATCTTGATACATAGATGTTCAATGTACTGTATATTCTTATGGTTACATAATATTAATAATCAAAATGTTTTTTATAACCGTATGTAAAAACCTTTTTAATAATAGCACTTGTATTTTATCTGCAAATAAAAACAAAATTTTGAATTTAATTATATTTGATATGGTAAATAATAATTTATTAAATATTAATAGATTATTTCATATAATATTACATTTATCACTTAAAGTACAGTCATAACTGGATCTGTGCAAATTTAACTTAAACATTGATAAATAATTAATTAAACAATTAATTTTATCCAGTTAAATAATAGAGTGTAAATGGAAGCAGTTGTTAACATTCATTTTTCAACTGTTTCATTTTACAATTATTTTAAATGCTAATCTTATTTAGTGATTATAAGTATATTGTATTCTTAATCTATTTGAATTGGTAAAAAATTCACATTTATCTTTTGTTCTTTGGGTATAAATGATTCATATTATTAGTAACAACAGCATAAATATAACATGTGACAATTGCACAATGACCATGGAAATATCATATATAAACCAGCTCGATAATTATATCTAGTTAAACAGTTAGGCAAGCAATTATTAATCTGTAATTTGTAATTTATTTTACAGCTTAAATAAATACAGTATATTATGAGATCAATACTAATATATGTAACAGTATTTGCAATTGGTTACGTTAAATGCCAAAGTGACCATGTTAACTCAAATATAATAGGTGGCCATGATGCTAAACCCGGTGATAATCCGCACATGTGTTCACTGTATTACGAGGGCCGACACCAGTGCGGGGCGTCTATCATAAGTGACAGGTGGGCCGTAACGGCCGCTCATTGTGTACACCACGAGTAAGTATAATCACATTATTTATCACAATTATATTTAATTGTAAATTAATTTTATCATTTATACAAACGTAGCGCAACCGACACAATGCAATTACGATGTGGGTCAATATTGCGCTCAAAGCCCCTACATACTTACACGGTGGCCAAATATATTTACCATGAAAAATTTTCCAATGACGTATACGCCTATGATATAGCGTTGTTGCAAATAGAAGGCCAATTTAAGCTAGGTACAAAGGACCAGGACAAAATCCAGCTGCCTCAGCAGGACTCTGACCCGGAACCTACCGTAATAGCAACGACTATAGGCTGGGGCCAAATAGAAGTGCCGCTTCGCCCGCCGGGTATACCCGATATATTACAAACGTTGGACATTCCTATTGTAAAGCGTGCTGATTGTATTGTCGATTATGCAAACTTCACCGAGGTAATAGTTGATGATACTAGTGTTTGTACTGGTGGTCAAGGACGTGAGTCGTGTCAAGTATGTATTTTTTATTTGATTAGTTATTGTAATTATCTATGTATAATAGATAATCATGTTAAATGTTATTATTTATATTTGACATGATAGTGGGATTCTGGTTCACCACTGAGACTTAATAACACCATAGTGGGTATAGTTTCACGTGGTAAACCATGTGCCATTGTTGGATTTCCTACAGTGTATACTAGGGTTGGACTGTTTCGGGATTGGATTCGCACACATTCTGGTGTTTAATTAAAATAATAATTATAAATTTATTACAAATAAAATTTGCATGATATAAAGAAATGTAGTATTTGTAAGTAATAAATCATGATGCAATTAATTTTTCAATAAACTATTTTTTTATTAAAGTAAATTTATTAAAGTAAACATGTTTTTCTGAAATAATATTGTTAAATTCTTATTAGTAAAATAAACTGGTTAAATAAATGTATGAATGTGTATATTGAAAATGCATTTACCCAGATGCACTGATTGATATTTCATTAAATGAATAATTTTCCTGA